TTTACGTTTGAGTTTATTTTCAACCAATGTCGAAATTTAAACCGCTTTTACATTCACATTTAGGGCATTTTAGGAAACATTAATGGATTAATTATTTTTGGTTGGTTTAGTACCTAATAGCCATTTGCTACCTTTTGGGAATGAAGGAGTTAAGACAATATCAGTTTACGAATAAATCCGTACACATAATGCGAAATTATACATACCCTCATGATTTCTGCTAAATTCAATTTTTTATGTGATATTTATTGAAACTATATTGATTACATTTGAAAAAGGGTGTTCAAAGAGATAATCTAAAAATAAAAAGATTAAAATGTGAATTGGATAAGATATGAAAAGAGAAATGATAGAAAAATTATCGATACCTTTCATGAAAAACACATTTAATTTCACAATTTTCAATAAAAACATAGATTTTAATAATCACAGTATCGATTAATAAAAAGTAGTCTACTATTAGAAATCCCCTTTAAAGTTTCAAAATCTACTTCATTCCAAGCATTCTGTATTGCTGGTAACAAATAATTCTTGTTATTTTATTGATGGCAGTGCGTATAAATTTTTTAACTGAAATTATCCAAAGGTTCTCCAAATGATTTAGATCAGGGGAACAAGATGGCCAATCTATAGCCTCAATTTTATTTTGTTTGAACCAGTTACTAGTTCTTCTACTAGAGTGAATGGATGCGTTATCTCGCTGTATAACAAGTTTAGGCGAATGTGTCTGAAAGGATAAATTAAGTTTGCTATGTCTATTAGGCTCTTAAACCACGATAGTTCTTCCGGAAAAATTTCTCATTAAAAATATTGCTTCTCTCTTCGTCACTCCCTTACTCGCGTGAACAGTATAAAATCAATTTTTTTACCCCCAAAAATAACTAATAATGAATATTATTTTGAGTATTATAATATGAACATTATTTTTAGTAAAATGTTTTCATTTTTCTTTAAAAATTGATGTTCTAATATTTGCCAGTAACCAGTCAGTAATTATGTTTTTTTTTCTTTTTTTGGGAAAAAGTTTAATCTTGCTACTTATATGAGGAGGTTTAAAGCTTGGAGCAGTCTTTATTTTAGAAAACAATGCAAGAATTTCGTTTTTTTTTTGGTCTAAGAACTATCTTTTAAGACATCATGCTTGAGTTTTTTTCGAACTTTATTTTAAGGTCTTGACTTATTTTACCCTATTAGATTAACTTTTTTTTTCTTCTCAAGCAGAAAGCTTGCGAGAACGTACTCTACGTTTATTCAACCCATAATTATTGCGCTGTTTGATCGAAAAATCCTGAAAAGCACGAATTGCTTGATTTACTATTTTAAAAGTGTACTTAGTATATAATTTACATATGATCCAAAAAGAGGTTAATTGACCTTTCCAAAGTTCAGAGAACTGATTACAACGAGGCATGTTTTTAAAATTGGAATTTCAACTTTGAGTTTGGATCCCATTTGATTTAGATATCAAAATAATTGCGATATTCGTATACATTTGCGACGACAATTTTTTTTCCAATTTTGTTTAATACAGTAGTAATTAAAATACTTCTGCGTCGGCAATTTTTCCAGGATTTGACTAACCCCTATATTTTGGTGGTCAGAAATCCGATTCCGTCGAAAAAAAATATGTTTACTCAGAGAATATACGCTTTTGTGTGTGATTTCATAACTTAAAATATCGTTAGATAATTAGCATATTTGAGGTCACCTTCTCAAACTATTAAGATTTAGTCCTACAACATGAAGAACCGATTATTAGTAATTCAAGGTGGTCCAATTTTTTTAATTTTAAGCATAGTACAGTGTACAAAAAAAACATCCTATGTAACTTTTGATCTTATGATCAAACCTTTACTTTCTATGACTTAATCTTAATGGTTAGATGGGGTGACCTCAAATACGTTTATTAATTAGTGCAGACGATATAAGTCACGAAATCAGACACAAAACGTGCTTTCTCTGAATAAACATAGCTTTTTTTTCGACGAATTCGGATTTCAGATCCCCAAAATTTAGCGGATAACCGCAATCTGCGAAATATAGTCCCCGTAGTTTGGTTAAGACAGCTATCCAAAATTTGGACCCCATAATGTTAATTTTACGTTTTGCGTATTACGCTATATATCTCGAGAACTTTTTAAGCCAGCTGAAAAATTTTTGCACACAATTATAAAATTCATATATCCAAAAATAATTACATTCAAAAAATATATTTTAGTAAATATTTATTATTTTTTGTTATTTTATTTAATAATAATCGAAACAATTTTGAAATGGAAGGTATGCAATTTTTCAAGACATTTTAGAGTGTGTGATTTTACATGGCAAAATACAAAATTTGAGCTTGAATAGCTCCTGAGATATCGAATTTTAAAAATACGACTTCTTAGAAATCTGATTTCTCAGCATCTACTAGATAGATTTTGCTCAAATATTTAAAATTGCATACTTTTAAATAATGAAAAAAATTGCGCAACTTACGCTTCAAAACGTTTCCGACTATTATTAAACAAAATAATAAAAATAATATGAATTTACTAAAATTTATTTTCTGCATTAAATTATCTTCGGATAAACGAATTTTTTAACTGTGTGAAAAAATTTTTCAATTCACTTAAAAATTTCCCGAAATATAGCGACAGGATCGCTCTCCTGACCAAATTAAGAGTACTCTGTTTCCCACATTGTGGTCACCCCTTATACTTTAGGATTCTGTAATCTTAATCCGTCACAAATAGGGTACGTTTATTGAGATAAGGTACGTTTTTGTGCCTGATTTCGAAACTTAAAATATCGTCTGCACTAATTAATTAGCATATTTGAGGTCACCCCCTCAAACTATTAAGATTAAGTCTTAAAACATGAAGACGCGATTATAAGATTAAAAGTTATATTTAGTCGTCCGTTTTATTTATTTATAAATTTTTTTTTGTGCTGGGCATTGTTCATTTTTGAAAACAGTAAGTAACTTCTTTGAGCATATCTTCGAGTAATTTTTTATACATCAAATAAGAAGTTTTTTGGAACCTCGTTTCCTATTCTTTAAATGTGACAGTGTGACTATCTTAAAATGAATGAGTTAATTCTCCTACTCAAAAAAGAGTGAAATTTTTTCAATCAACTTGACTTGAATTAGGAGTGAAATAGGGGAGAGGGGGGCACTTGTGAACAGGGGGCACATGTGAACATGGTATGTTTTACCAATATGATTTGAAATAAAAAATCTTGAAAAATTTTCAATTGATGGCAGTACTAGTCCTACCTCTCTGCGAAACTTTCAGTACAATGAGACATTTTGTTGTTCTATTCTGACAATTTCTTTGTATCAGTTGGTGTTGTATATATTATAATCACTAGCTTCTTCAAGTGAAAGCATAGTATAAATCAACTAATAAACTGAAATTAACTATTGCAGACCATTATATGAACATTCAGGTAAGTTTATGACAATTAATTTTTTTTTTTACTCAATTAAAAGTTCTTTATTTTTCAAGTAAGGTTTAAGAAGGATGATGGGGCACTTGTGAACAAATCATCTGGGGCAGATGTGAACAGTTCACATGTGCCCCTACATAGTATTAAGATTATTATCCTCATGATATTATAAGTTTAAAAAATATGTATGCATTTAAAATTATTATTATTTAATTTTCCATAATTAATTTATTAATTTTTTCTTTAAAAAAAATTTTTTTTTTTTAAATGGTTGATCGCGCATCACGCATATTAACTGATACACCTGAGAAAATAGAATTGTTAAAGCTACAAATGAAAAGATAGAAAAAATGAAAAAAAAAGCATGAAAGAGTATTAGAGAAGAAAGAAAAAGGCCCATTACAACACCCGTGGAACATGAAGTTGCGAAAAACCCAATTACGGATAAATTATTGTACAGCTGAAAAATTATTTTCTTATTGACAGTACTGTTGTACAGTTTAAATTCGCATAGTAAGCTACAACCCCTTCAGTATAATACGTATCTATATCTGCCATATTAAAGATTTTTTTCCCTTGAAATATGATGATTGCTTTGTGTTTTTAATCTTGTTCATATGTGCCCCAGGCATGTTCACATGTGCCCCTAATAGGGGCACATGTGAACAATTGAAGTCATTTTTTTAAAATATCATAAAGTAAAAGAATATTTTATTAAAAAATCTCAAAAAATTCCATAAGACGAAGAAAAGACTACTTAAACATATGAACTTCTTTACTGTGAAAAATTTATGATATTTTTTGAAAAATGAAGAAATAAAAAAAATTGTTCACATGTGCCCCCCTCTCCCCTACTTGCCTTGCGTTAAATCGAACTTGTGTGGCAGATATTTAAGCAATGCTTTAGTTGTTTTCGCTCAAGCATGATTTGATGAGCGAGTTATTTATTATTTAATCGTGTGCGAGCTATAAGCTGAAATTTGTATCGTTTTATTTTAAAAAGAAAGCGATGTGAATTTCTGGTTGTTAAGACGATATGATGGAACAACTTTTCTAAATAAAAGTATTATGTTCTCGCCTCGACTTTATATTTTGTTGAATAGTTAATTTTTACTTGCTATTATGTCTTTCATATTTTTTTTTAATAGAGAGAAATTAAAAAATAATCTTATTAAAAGTGTTATTTCTGACGAAGATGCTATTTAATTTTAGGTAAGTAAATTTATTTTCTTGTTCTAATTTTCAAAATACCTTTTATATTTCTGTACCTTAAAGGTATACTTTTTAAATTCTCTCTGCTTCTGTTCTAATCTTATATTCTATGACGAATATTGCCGTTTTATCGTTTTATTATTGCCGTTTGCCGTTTTAGTCTTATATTCTATGATGAATATTGCCGTACCCAGTGAAGGTTTATCGTCTTGTTCCGACTCATCCTATATAATGATAGTCATAAATTTCAATTACAATATTTTATTCAAAAATCACGACGTCAGTTTTTAAAATATGGTATTTTCATTAACAAAAATTGCATTTATTTGAAAAGACAAGAACATAACCAAATGTTAAGGCAAAAATGTACGTCTTTGTTTATTTTGAGCAAAATTTATATAAATTTCCAGAACATAGGGAATAAAACAGGCATTTTATTCACATGGGCACTTTTGGTTCACTCTGTTTCCTTCTAGATCAACGCAGTAACAATTTCCAAAACTGCCATATTGCCGTGGAGCGTATGTACCATCTGCGTTACAATTAGGAACAGGAACGTCTGCAACATGTTGTTCGACTGGAAAAAAAAGAAAGAACGTTACGACAAAATCTTAATAAAAGAAAAGGAACGTAACCAAAGCATTTATATAAATTTATTCCTAAATAGTGCTGCAGGTTAATTGAAATTTCCAAAAATAATTCCTCTGATCGTCACCAATAGCCCTTTAGTGTAGCTTTTAATGGAACATTGACAACAAATCAATCTAATAAAACATTAAAACAATGTTGAAGAACCTTAATCAGAAAAAAATATTTTGAAAGGTTTTTCTTTCAAGGAATGATCCACAAATTTTTCCTTTAAAGGTTCAATTCTGTGGATGAATAAATAGATTATGAATAGGTCCGTCCTATAAACGGGTGTGGCGTATGGATGTGGCAGAAGTAGAATTCTTGGTCATAGATGGAGCCGCTGGAAAACAAGAACAATCGCATCTCTTACCTTAATTGCCTACGACGACAACAAATGAAGATTTGTTAAAGTACTTCAAAATTTTTATCTAAAGTTTATACATGGCTGATTGTGCTCCGGAAAAATCCGGATTTCCAGAATTTTCGCTAACAGTGATCCGGAAGTTTCCGGAAATCGAAGGTCCAGACGTTTCAAAAAATCATTAATCACAGAAGTTTCCAGAAATCAAATTTTCAAAGGTGGAACTTAGAAACAAAGTTTATTTTATTTGTTTGTAAGGGAGAGCCAGAGAGATACTTAAAGCTTATATTCATGATTAATATTAATTTTTTATCAGTAAATAGTTGTTATAAGAAAGAAAGACATATTTGTAAATTTTAATTACTTCTCCAGGTCATCATAGGCATGTTTAAATGGTATAGGTATGTGTAAAATTTAAAATACAGTTTAAGTAAACTAAAAAATATTGAGAAAAAGGAAAAAAACCTTGTTTAAATTTTTTTTCTTCTAATTTTACAATTTAAACTGCTTTTTTTTTAAACTCAGGAAATTTTCTGGAATTTTAACTTGGGCTCGCAATCAAAACGAAACCAGGTCTGTTTAGAAGAAATTTGGGTCCGTTAACGGACCCTTCACAAAATATCTTTTCATAAAAACGGACCCTTCACAAAATATTTTAACTTAAAAACGGACCCTTCACGAAATAATTTATCTTTTAATCGGACCCTTCACAAATTTGTTAATCTTCATTATAGTTTTGTTAATCAAATAAACCCTTCCCAGGAGGGGCGGGGGAAGAAAGACAGATGTAAACTAACTAAATTTTGTCTTCGACAGACGCTTCTTCCTTTATTCGTCCGAAATGAATATTCTGCTTTCCGCAGTATAGGCTAAGTACCAAATATTTATATGTTGCATCGCTAATTTAGTTGCTGCAATTGCTGTTTATTTCTTAAAATTTAATTTTGTTAATTATAATTTTAGAGTGTTGAGCATAATCTTGTATGTCTTTACAATTTAAAAACTCCTTGAAAAAGTTTTTCTGCAATAACGGACCCTATTTGCACAAATTCACAAAAGCGGACCCTGGTTGAAAGAATGTGACTTAACGTTTATTTTATATTCACAAATTACGAGTAATTTTTTCACAATTTTACAAAAACGGACCTTTCAGAAAATGTCTGGACAGACCCCTGTCAACAATTTAAGCAAAAAACAAATTTCAAGTCAAAATGCAAGAAATAAACTTTTTTCTTTTACAAATCTGTAGAAATGGAACATATTTGATTAATAACGTATATGAGAAAACCCATACTTAGTAATGTACATATATAACAAAATAACATTATCTTACGCATTGCTTGTGCTCGTTCATAGCGTTCACCGCAACTGTCGGCATTCAGAACAGCGAAAAGGCAAGCCATCAACACAAGAAATCCAAAACACTTCATTTTCTTCCTAAAGCGATACGAAGGCCATATAACATATTTATTTCAAGACAAATCATTCTGTAATAAGATTATAAGAAAAATGATCCCTAGTTTTCTAAAGATGAAGGGCTTTGGATCAGCATAATAACCACACTTTAGAATTGTTCAACGAGTATTTTCCAGTGAAAACAGGGGCGGGGGAAAAACTTTGGCAGCCCCCCTCTCTGCTTCATTACTTCAGTTATGAAGAACCGAACTCTAAGGAGGTATTTAAATTTTTCACCTCATTATAGATAACAGGAAAATTGAATAGAATCTAAAATAGATATAAAGTCCTCCCCACCTCCAATGGTCAGATGAAATATCGTTCTGTCTATTTTATTAATTTTCTGTCAATTCTATGTCCATCATGCCAAATGCAGCTTTCTGATTGCTGACTTTGTCATCTAGCTGTAAAAAATTCATATTCCTGCTGGCATTTCGGCTGAATTCAGCTAAATTTTCGCAATTACGTTGGCTCAATTAAGCCAGCAGAAGCCTGTATTTTTGTAAGCATATCGCATTTCGAGCTATGTAAAAATACATGATTTTGATTGGCCCAATTTGTCCATCGTAATTGTGAAAATTTAGCTGATTCCGCCCCAGAAAGACGCTGATTTACGAAATAAAGATTAGATTAATGAAGAAGCTAACATAAAACTGACGGATTTTTCTCTGTACTGATAGTTTGTTTAAAAAAAACTTCATTAAAGAAAGAAACGTAAAATAAACTTTTAATTCGATTTGAGGGCTCCCTTTGACGTGGGGGCCAAGGGCAACTGCCCTGTATGACCCTGCCTTAGTCAAGCTCTGAGTAGAAATTCCTGAAACTTGTAAGGTAATAGTCTAAAAAACATCTAAGGAACAGTTTGATGTATAAGTGTACTTTTGCAAAAAAGTGTAGCTTATAATTATATTGCCATAAAGTATAAGCAATGTTCACGCTTTTATGGATTACAGGTTTCGTCAAGTTCAAATATATTTTCAGATTTATATTAAAAGTGATAAATTTTTTATTAATTAATGCACTTAGCATCTAACTAAAATTAACAATATGATATCGTGCTCAATATGCTTACATTAGTTGCTGAAAGTTTTTCACTGATATTTTTGAGTAATGGCATTGAGATTGGCGAAAATTTCTTAAAACAGCGGTGACGGCGGCAGTAACTTTTTTAATATAGATTCGTAAAAACTATCAAGAGCACATAGTTGATTATTGTTTTCAGTTCAATTTCATACAGGGGAGGACACTTAAGGAGTATTGCTTATATTTCCGTATAATATTGAGCAATAATCAATATTTTTGTATGTTTCTATTGTTTTACCATCTAATTAAATAATGCAAAAAGAATAAACCAAAAAAAGAATAGTTAAACTTTAAAAAATGGAAATTTAAACATGTTTCTCAGCTCTTTTCAAAATGTGTCGGGTAGCCCCGCCCAGTTACAAAAATTATGTTTTTTGACTGTTTTTTCAGGTGTAAATGAAAGTGACCAATGTATTGACAATATATAAACCTCATTTATCATTTTTATCACAAAATTATTTTATTTACTACATATTTATATGCTTTTAGTGAATTCTATCATTTAATAACAACAATATTTGTTGTTAAAAATGCATGTAACATTCAAATTTGAAGCAATAAAATAATAATCTTTGCAACCGTACATTTATCGACGAAATAAAATTGGGCGGTGATACCCGACATTCATGCGAGCGAGGCTACCCGAAATCCAATTTTTTTGTAAATTTGTAATTACTCGAACAATTTTTCACATATAAACTTCTTTCTTCGTGCAAATTTAACTTAAGATTACATACTTTAATGCTGTATGTATAGAAAAAATTATTTTTTTAATATTAAAATGAAGTTTAATCGAGGCATTCAACCAATTTTTCTTAATTTCATGACTACTGCATTCAACATATTTTCAAAACTATTGTTTACCATGTTAACAGCTGCATAATACTTGAAACTTTAAAAATAATCTTTTTTTAATATAACAATTAATGTCCGATGGCCCATTGACTTGAAAAAATATTCTATACATATGAAATTGACTGTGGGCTGGGGTACCAGCTGGGCGGGGCTACCCGACTCTCCCCTATATATTTTACGAATATAAAAGTGAAGATTTACAACTAACGGAGCATCTTTATCTAATGATTGGATTTTCATATACTAAAATGCTATCTTATAAATTCTTACGACCAAACTGAAATATACCGAAATTTTGGTTTGGCGAGCGCAAGCGAGCAGGGGGCGAAGCCTTCTAGTGCTGAGTATTTTGTCTGATTTTACAACTAGTGACATCAAGATAAAAATAAGCATTTTGATAAAAAAAGATCCAGTTGACTTCAGTCTTCATATAGTGTTGTATATATGTAAAGAGTAATATTTCTCTGTATTTATTTTATGTGAAGTTAAATTATGGTATTTATTTACATTCTAATTATTTAGAATATTTTAGTTCGAAAGCTAAATTTCGTTACAAGAGAATTGTCTACTAATGTTTACTGCAAGAGTCTAAAAATAATTTAGTAAAGTTTCAAAATGTTAAATATTGTACATAGCTTCTAATGTAAAAATTGTATGCTGCATTTAATTTGACAATTAGAGAATTTAGTTTTAAAAGTGAAATGTTTTGATTGTAACATAATGCATTGGTTTCAACCTAAAGTTTAAAGAAATACTCAAATAAGTTCTTAAATAACTTTTCCCTTGTTTTCTCTGGAGAAGTTCTTCCAAGGGGAGAGGAGTTATTAGGTATGAAAATATTAAAAATTATCAGGCTAGCAAAAGCATGAATAAAATAAAATAAACACATAAAGAGATAAATTAAAAGTAAAAGCGTGAGACAATTGGGTATAATATAAAAAAAACACAACTACTTCCACTTAGTAGGAATAACATTTACCATGACGCAATGCTAAATTCTATGCCACTATCCACATAAATGCCACTATCCACATAAATCAATTATTAATCAAAAATCGAATATCAATTACTTTTCTTTATAATGCAATAAAATCTGGCGAGCAGCTATTTAAACGATCAAACACTTCGCTTGTTTATTTGTGACTTGAAGTTAGGCTCGCAGAAAATGCCGTTCATGGGTTAAATTTAGTAGGAATAACACAACCTGTGACGTAGGCTATAGTATACCCAATTTATAGAGCAACAGAGAGTTGTTGATTCTTTACAGAATAGTTTTGTTTTTTGGAATTTGAAGTTTATAATCATCCGGTACGAGTTTTCCTATATTTTATTACAAGATTATTACTAACCCGTAACGGATAATTTAATTTCGTACTGTATTTGTTGTTGTGAAATTTTTTTTAAAACAAAGAACTGTTTCTTAATATAGCTCAGTGGTTACCAACTGGCTGCCCGCGAAACCTAGCCTTTTTTTGTGGCCCGCGAACCAAAATATATTGGTTGTCATTTTTTAAGGAAAATTTTCTTAGAAAATTTATATAGGTTTCAAATACTTTCAAGTTTTATATCTTAAAATTTGATATCTGTTGTAGATTGATTGTTTAATACATAGGTGCACATGAAAGTTATTGTAGCCAGAATTTTTTAACATGCAATTAAATGTTTCTAAAAATCTACTTCTTATTTTAATTTGTAATTCAATACTTTTGTTTTGTACAACTTGATAAAAATCTGACGGGTATATTTAATGTTCCTTCAAGCGTAAAAGAGTCCTATATAAAATTTTGATAAAGTTGCTGCCCGCCATTTGACTGGTCTTTTTAATTGCGGCCCCCGGCCTCATGTAAGTTGGAAACCCCTGATATAACTTAATACGTTACAGCATTCTTGACTTCTAACACGGCGCCAAAACATATGCCTTCTATTGTTGTTGCAAAACAGCTTTGTTGTCAGAGGTATTTAAAAACTTCTTTGATTCGGAAAATATTTAAAAACTGTCACTACGTATGTTCATTCGCTGAGATAGGCGGAATTTTAAAGATGATACAATTTAAATAAAAGTTCTGCTGGATTAAAATAAGCATCTTTCCCCAAGAAGTCTCAATTTTATCGAAATTAAAGCCCAAAACTTCTTTTCACTAAATTTTTAAATTGATAGTATAAGTGAAATGTCTGTATTCTAAAATTTCAGAACATAAAGAGTTATAATGTTAACAAATCTACCAGTTTAAAAAATTACGAACATTTGCTTTCAAAAGTAACTAAACTAAGAAATACTTTCAGAAAAAGATTTTTTTAAAATTCAAAATAATGTAGCTTAAATAAGAAACTTACTCACTATAACTTCCTAAAGTTATCCAAAAATTCTAATTTCTAACTACTGTTTCTTTATGTATGAAGCATAATTTAAACATATTTAAACGAAGATAATTTATGCATGAAGAATGAAGTTAATTTATTTACAGCAAATAAGCAGATGCTTATTATGAAATCTAAAAACTTTCAGACAGCTATGTTTCGCAACTTCAATAAATTAGTAATAAAATAATAATTTTACTTGGTTTAAGATACCTAAAACGTTTAACTATGAATCATACGAAAAATAACAGGTGAATAAAAGCAGTTGAGAATTAAAAGCTTTTAAAAGCAAAAAAACAGGAAATAAATCTTTAATTGCCATTTCCCGTCAACATGCATAACCGGTCATTTTCAACTCGTGACTGTCCTAAAAGTTGTAACAGAATAATTATAATAAAATTTGAATCTTTAATTATTAATTGCATTCATAAGAATTTTAAATGTTGCAAAGTTTTAAATCTTGATGGAATATTTTAAACTTCGAAATAGTTTCAACCAGACAAACATGGAACTTCACCATACATTTTCCACAAAAACAGACCCTTCGTAATTTATTTTATCTTAAAAATTGACTCTTAATAATTACTTTACTATTAAAAATAGCTCCTACAAAAAATTTTTTTTGAAAAAGGAATCAATTACATTTTTGATTTGTTATTTTAAAACTATAATTTTTAAAAAAAAATATTTTTTTAAAGAAAAAAGTAATACCTTTATTTTCACAAATACAGAGCTTGGCAGTAAGAACCCGATTCAATGGCAATTTCAGATTCAGAAAATGAGCAGGTTTTTAACAAAGTCTGAACAGACCACTTGATCTTACTATTATAAAGAAATTCACAATTTTTAACAGTAAGATTGTTACAGCAAATTCACGTGACAGGCTATAACTTTTTCCTCCCATAATTGCTGCTTTTAATCATAAAATTTCTGATAAACGGCTATGTAAATCACTTCCTTTGAAAACGGAACTTCACTTCCTTTGGAAAAGGAATTTCACTTCCTTTGTTTTTTCCTTTGCATTTTAATCAGGGAAAGTAGAGTATTGTTTTGTTTTTTAATGCACGTGTGCTTTTTTAAAAAAATTTAACATGAGTGTGGATGATAAAGCTTTCGAATAGTGATCAAATAATAGCGAACTGATGTACTAGATCGGTTGTTAGTTTACGTCTCATTGCGAACATTTTGAAACTTTTTAAATGCGATTTTCATTCATTAAATAATTCCCGAAATGTTCAAATTCGTGAGTTATATGTATTTTTTATTTCCTTTCGATTCAAACTACCTGCAGTTCTATCCGTTGAAAGCATTTTGATCCATACCAAAGGCAAAGTAAACTTAAAGTGTTCTGGAATTTTCCGTTTTAGAAGTCTTGGTTTTGTTCTTAATGTCAAATCATTTTATCACGTAAAAACTTTTTACTCTCTAAATCTTATTCAAACAAATATTTTAATTGAATGTAAATAAAGCGAATCGAAGATTAGCTAAAAGAATTTTTGGTAACTTTAAAAAAATACAAGGAATTAATTAAAGGATATATTTCTTTAAAAAAAAAACTATGTCATGAATGAAGTGTTGTGCAGAAAATTAATTAAAATTTAATGAATAAATTAAGGAAATGAAATATTAATGAGAGTGCTTTTTTTCACTATTATTATAAAAAAAATTCACTTATCATAAATCATTTGCGTCATATAAATTTCTTTCCGAAGATCAAATACCTCTGAATACATATTATAAATATCATAAGAATATAAATCATAAAATTATAAATGACTATTTATAATACAGTACTCACGATTTAGAGGGATGGTAAGGAAATGTCTTGTCCCGGATAATTAAATATCTCGGATTTTACAAATTTGATAAGAAAAATTTCCTTAAAAAATAATAAAAATTTACGTACCATAGAGAATATTTAATTTCATTATTACTCAAGGAAGAAAAAGTACATAATTAAAAATATATATATATATATATCANCATTTTTCTGTCGAAGAATATATATAATACAAAAATTATAAATACTTTTGTATAATTGAAACTCTTTTCGATTTCTTAAAATGTCTTTGTTAAAGAGTAAGAGTAGAGATATTCTATTTTGGGAAGTCAAGGCTGAAAACATACCACTGAATTATAATTAGATTTATATTTCAAAGGAGGAGTTATTTTTAGAATCGTACCCTCTTTCACTTCCATATTAGGAAGCATTAAATGATTTTCGCTGATGAGTAAGGTTACAAGACTGTGCCTTTTTACCCCAATCTATCTTTGTATAAAACGTAGGAACACTAGTTTTTGCGTGTCCTCTTCATCATGTTGTGATCCTCATAAGTTGTTCCGGAATTGTCAGAAGTCTTGTCCACCCCCTCCCTTGTGGAGTGCGGATGTGAACTATTTTAAATAAAGCTATTGATAAAGTATTCTGCCTGGTGACTGCATTATTAAAGATGAATACAACAATGATAACAGGGATGTAGCCCTGTTATTATACATNTTTATATATATATTAGTTTTATACTATTTGTTGTTATTATTCGATAAGTAAAAAATTAAATTTATATAGATATGCTGTATTAAATTTTAAAATTATTCACAAATAAAAATAAAGTTTGCTTGGATCATATTTTAACGGGAAATTATAATTAAATATATTTTCATCTAAAAATTCTATATATTAAAACTTTTTATTCTAAACTTATTACAAAATATTGAAGTGATTCGTGATAAAAAAATTTAATGTACCTCTACCAATTCAATTTTATTGCTTATTTATTGAAGTCATGTGATATATTGAATTGAAAGCGTTTTAGAATTTGTGATAAGCATCTGATTAAACAGAATTTTGCTTGCTTTACGTAAATAAACTTAAAAAATTAGATGAATTTTCTTCATATATATACCCTTAACTTATCTTTTATACGTACAAAAGAATCAGTAGCTGGAATACTTGGAAACTTTTGAAACCAAAATTGAGTAAGTTTCATATTCAAGCTTTTTTGAATAGTGATTTTGTAACGTACTCTGCTGAAAACAATAAAACAATGAGGGGATACCTTAAATTTGGCTTCTCGCAGGCGCAATCATATAATTTAAAACTTCAGTAATAAAAAAAAGTTAGAAAGGAAAATTATAACGCCTACAAAATTTGGGAATATGCTAATGCTTTCAGTGTTGACATAAAAAACTATGTAACATTTAACTTTAACCAGTTACTTTGAGCAATTTTAAGCATTTAGTTATAATTTAGTGCACTTTTCTGACAATTAGATAAGAGAGGATAAAAGTTTTACTACTTGTAATGTACACGTGCTTAAACGATGTCTTACGTATCCATCTCTTTTGGATACTTGCTTTATGACTTCATATAAATTACAATAAGAATGAAAAAACCCATCTTGTTAGAATCATGTGTTTAACTCTTAGTTAGTACATACATTAAAAAGTGTGTCTGAAATATTTTTGTGTAAGTTTAGTATTTAAAGTGTCTTTAAAAACGTTTTTTTTTTTTTTGTATTAATGATTATTCTATACTAGAATTTATCGCAATTTTAATCTCAATCTCAATAAATAAATAAATCTCAAATAAATAAATAAATAAATAAATAAAAATTTGGGAAATATGGTTCCCATAGTTTGGTCTGGAGAGCAATCCTAAGTTTGGACCCATTAATGTTAATTTTACCTTTTGCGTATTTCGTCAAATCTCGAAAACTTTTTAAACGAATTAAAAAAAAATTTGCACACAATTCTAAAATTCGTTTATTCAAAGAAAATTCCATGGACAAAATAAATTTTGACAAATTTTTTTTTATTATTATTTTATTTATTAATAGTCGAAACAATTTTGATGTACAATTTTTAAATCATTTTAAAATATACAATTTTACGTGAAATCTGTTGAATAGTTACCGAGAAATCAAATTTTAAATATACTATTTCCTTAACTTATGCAACTTTTTTTAAATCTACTAGTTTTTTAACTATTTATATTTTTATATTTCCCTGTTTGCTGCTACTCCCAAATCCGAAACCGTTGAAAAAAAGCTATGTTTATTCAGAGAAAGTACGCTTTTGTGTCTGATTTCGTAACTTCAAATGTCATCTGCTCTAATTAATTAACATATTGGCGTTAACCAGCATTGGCATATTTGAGTTCACCCTTTCGAACCATTAAGATTGAGTCCTAAAACGTGAAGATACGATCATTAGATCAAAGGTTTTTCATGATAATCCATTTTTTTTTCTGCGCAATGTACACATATTCTACGCGCGAATTTGTTAAATAATTTGTGTCGTAATTTGTTAGTTATATGGTTATACCTCAATCACATTGGACAAAGTATACAATAAATGTTATTCTAGAATTTATCAAGATTTTTGCTTCCTAACATAATTACACTGATCCGGTATCGCCGTTAGCCTTTTCTGAATGGTTACTTAGCGTTTGTCTAATAATATTAATTTTTTTAAAATTGATTCTCATTAGTTCTAAAATTTAAAAAAAAATATATATGAAAGAAAATTTAATTCAGACAGACAAAAACACAGTATATATCACCTAAATCTAATCCAAATGATTGCTTTTAATCTTTGAAAGGAAGAAAAAAATCATAAGGAACTAGAGAAATCAAAAATTTATTATAAACAAATTAAATCGTGATAACTGAAATTAAAAACGCAACCAAATTCAAAAAAAAAAAAAAAAAAAAAAAAAAAAAAAAAAAAAAAAAAAAAAACTATTTTTTAAAGCTATTACTAAAGCCATACATAAACGTTTTTAAAGCCATGTATTTTTGAAGTTATATAGTGCATAATAGACTAAAGAACAATTCTCTGCCAAAATCAAAATTAAAAAGAAAAACATTTTTTTAAAGCCATACATGATTTTTTAAAGCTATTCACTTTTAACCCCTTCAGGAACGTGATCACGCGGATATTAACGGATCAAAGTATCACATATGAAACAAACTTTTCTAATTCTAGTGATCAATCTCAATACGGTACTCGCTTAATATATTTCGTATTAGTACGAATACGTACTCTTTAGTAGTATAAACGTGGAGCGTGCATGTGTTGGGAAGCCCTTCTTTTTTCTTCAGCCAGTCCCGATAAGGGGTAAAAACCGTATATGCTTCATAATAGATAGAAGAACGATTCTCTACCATCAAAAATATGTTAAAAGCAAACTAAATCGAAATAACTAAAATTTAAAATGCAATCGAAAATCTAAAGAGAGATGCTAAGGGAGACTTCTGAATTATTTTATTCTTTTGCCTTCAAAAATATTTCTTATAAAAAAGTTTTATTTTAGTAGTTAGGCTAATTAGTGTTCTATTTATTTTAGAGGAAAAATGAAGTTTTACGGACTCCTTGTACTAATTACTTGCTTGTTTGCTGTTTTGAAAGCCGACAGTTGTAAAGATGAACTGGAAGAAGCTCAAAAAATGGGTAAGTAATATTATTTTGAAGTTGAAGGGAATTTTTTTTTTTTGTAAAATTTTTCTATAGATAATAAGGAATTCAAAATAAAATTTAATACTATAGCCTTGTGCTGTGAATGAAAATTTAAACTCCATTTCTTGTATTTTTAGATATATTCTATTTTAATATTTATTAATCAAGATTATTCATTTACAACTTTCCACACATTTGCTTATGAAATAAATTTTCTAAATATTTTGGAAATTATCCAACAATTTATTAAATCCTCTAAATCTGAAGGATTTTGTAAATATCTATTGATAGTATTTACTGGTACTTGTTTTCTTCCGAGAAATGTATTTTTTGAAAATACTAGAACACCTGTGTTTCGTATTTTTAAAACTTAACAATTAAAAAGGTTACCAAAGCACATACGGAGAGCAAAAAAATTTGGAAGCTGTGAATTATCTCATAAAATATTCATCGTAATCAAAAAGTGAAACTAGACACATTCAATAATTTTTAAAAGGTATCTTTCCTGGAGAATTTAAATTTGCAATAAAAAATAGGGGTTCGTAATTAAAAATCCCCTCCTGTCCCAGGGGAATGGGACTGAAAGATCGAGTTTGATATCATTTGGATAGCTTTTAAAAAAATATGAAATGCAGCAATTCTTGAAGAAACTCAGAAATTTTACCCGTCCCCGTGAACGACTTGTCCAACAATGTACCCGTCCTCCTTTGAAACTAACCTGTAGCTTCTAAATAAATATAAATATAATTTTATCTTATTTATTACTAACATTTATGTAAATTGCACAATGAATTAGTAGTTAGTAGGATTACAAATACTAGGATTAATACAGTAATAAAAGAAATACTAGGCTACTAATAGTACAACCAAGTATTTCTTTTATGAAAAAATTTATTTCTTTTATGAAATAATTTAAATAACAAAGGTCAAGTTATATGGAATGTCAATTTATCCGAGGGTACTGCCTTTTTTAAATGAATTAAGCATTAAGTTTGCCAGTTCCACAATCAAGCCAATGAATTACAGAGGTTTCTGCACAGAAATCTGAAGGGGGTTTTCCATGTAGGTAGATGTTCATAATTGCATTTAACGCTTCTTGTTTAAGACCAGTACGAAAGGTGTTTTTTTGCAAGTTCATTGCTGAAAAGCCTTTTTCTACCGCTGCAGTACTCCCAGACGGAGAAAACATCAATTCCACCATGCGCAGCATGTTGCTGTATTTCTAGATTAGAGGGTCATTTTAGAAGTGAGCGCTAGACTCTAGTAAGATAACAAAAATTAAAAGCGTATCACGACCATTAACGGGAAAATGGCCGTCCCCGCGGACATCGGAATCGAGAAATTTGTTGTCCGCGGGGAATTTTTGACCGCCGAGGACGGACGGTTTTTCGAGCCCTGAAATGCAGTTATTTTCATTTTTTCAGTCCGATGTATATTTCTCGAGATATTTGATCATTTCCAAATTTTTTTACACCCTGTATGTTCTATTTTTAACTGAACTGTCGTTATTTTAGTGAACTATCAGAACCTTACTTTCTAGATTGCAGTTCCTCCCCCCTTCTCCAATTCAAAAAGTCAAAAATTCATATTATAGGGTAAAAACAGTATATTTATTCAGAGACTGTACATTTTTGTGTTTGATTCTTTAACGTATTATTAATTTAATTGCAAATCCTAATTAATTAGCATATTTCAGATCGTATTTAGTCCGTGAAAATCCGTTCATTAAAACAAAAGGTGTTCAGGGTGATATCTTCTTTATTTTATGAACTGTAGATTCTTCATCCATTTTTAAGGACTTTCTTTTTTCTTTTTAATATCTAGACATAACTTTACTTTTTATACATTTCAGTTAAACAGGGTGTTCAAGACTATCCTGTTCCTTCGTGTAGCGCAGATGGTACATACGCTCCTCAGCAATATGGAAGCTTTGGAAATTGCTACTGTGTAGATCCCAACGGAAATAGAGTGGACAAAAAGTGCCCTTGCAGTTAAATTATTTTATTTATGCATAATGTACTGTGATTTTTTCTAACCAGGCGAAAAATAAATATTGAAATTTCATTATGAATATACTTTGTTACTGTCGAATAGACACATACATTTTGTGTCAACATTTTACTATAGTCCTAATTTATTTGTGAATATTTACAAATAGAAATTTCCTCTACGTAATAAACTAAAATTCTATATTTAACAGTATATCTATCTAGGTAAATATCTCTTAAACCATACCCCAATGAACATGGAAACTGAAAAGAAAGATAAACAGTAAATTGTTATTGTGTAAATCCTAAAGGAGAAAGACTGGACGAAACATGTCTGAAAACAACTGAACAACATGACAACTGAAAAATAATCGTAGTGCTATCAATACGCGACGGCGGAATGCGCGGCGAAGAAACGTTAAAAAGTCAAGACGTTTAAATGAAAACTATTACTTTGGTGTACTTACGAATACTTCTGATTGAAACTAAAATATTTCGTCAGTTGACAGTATTGAAGTTAAATGAGCAATTACTTGCAATGGTATTTGCTTTTGAAATATTACTTAGAATCAACTTATTAATATTACATGTTTTAATTTGTTTGTAATTTTTGTAAAGTTTTTTTCTCATCAGGTTTTAATTGTTTTTAGCTTAAAATTTAAATCACTGGGTGGGGGAAGATAAAGCACCATATAGGGAGCGTCCGGCATCCTATAAGATCAACAATGATTTGAGTTAGGCTCTACCACGCGTGCTTCGGATACGGAGATTAATCGCCGGCTAATGCCCTATAGCAGTAGTCCCCAACCTTTTTGTACCTAAGAGCAAATACCAGAATATTGGTCGAATGGCGGGCACCATTTATTTTTTCAAGATAAATTTATAGTTGGTAGACATAGGTAATATTACACACTACATATAGTGCACAAAAAAATTTAATTTTAAAAATTAATTTAACATATGAATATAATTAGTATTAATTTTCTTGTGTAAAATAAATATTACTTAATTGCTTTCAAAGCATATGAAATATAAAAATTATTTATAAAATACAGTCAATGTGGTGTTAGGCGCGCATGGCATTTCGCTGGCCAGCGCTAGATAATTGGGAGAATATAATGTTATTTTTAAGAATGGAATTTATTCCTTCA